ATTGCAGTTCCCAACAGAGTCCCTCTCTGGCTCTCTTGTGGCCCCCTTCAGATATTGAAAAGTTGCTATGAGGTCTCCACGCAGTCTTCTCTTCTCCAGGCTGAACAGCCCCAACTTCCTCAGACTGTCTTCATAGGGGAGATACTCCAGTCCTTTTATTAACTTCATGGCCTCCTCTGGACTTGCTCCAATAGTTCCATGTCCTTTTACGATAAGGACACCAGAACTGCATGCAGTATTCCAGGTGGGGTCTCACGAGAGCAGAGCAGAGAGAGGGAAAGAATCAACTCTTTTGACCTGCTAGCCACACTTCTTCTGATGCAGCCCAGGACTCAATTGGCTTTTTGGGCTGCTAGCACACACTGCCAGCTCATGTTTAGTTTTTTATCCACTGTCACTCCCATATTTTAGTTCTCATTGCTGCTCTCAATTACTTCCCCACCTAACCTGTAGGTGTGCCTGGGATTGCCATGGCCCAGATGTAGGACCTTGCACTTAATTTTGTTAAATTTCATGAGGTTTGCATTGGCCCACCTCTCAAGTCTGTCAAGGTCCCTCTGGAAAATACAGAGAGGCTTTGCACAGAAACATTCCTACAGTGACTGCTGATGTCATGCAGTTTTAATTAAGGTACCTATTGTCACAAAGTGAGAAAACACTGTGGTTCTTACAGAAACTGGTGCAGTTGATTCCAACTAACTGAAAACGATTGCTAACACTAGCTAACCAAGCACACTGCCAGCACACAGCAGGAGGTCCTTATCCAGCATATTAACTGTGCCTTGTCCAAGTCTAAGGCCCACCACATTGCCTAGAAACCCCTTTCATAAAGAGGCACAAATGCTTAATGTTTCCACTACTCTAGAGCATTTCATACAAGAATTATTTGAAACACGGCTGAAGTAATGAAGAAAAGTTGTGAGAGTTAAGAGTCAGGTTCTCAAAATGCGGCATGTCTAACTTGCTTAGGACAGCAGATATTTTGCCTCAATTAACCTGTTTACAGAAGGTAAAGTTAGGGAATGTTTGAAACCAATCAGCTCTCAAAATTTATTTTAAGGCTTTCTGGGGAAGATTTAATTAGACTTGTATGCTTTCATTATTATACAAATGTACTTAATAAGGTACAGAACGTTTTAAAAGCATTCCACTAGCAAAAAATTATTTTCTTCACTGAAGACCAAGAGTGGTATTTGAAACAAAAAAAAATAATCAGGTTGTACAGAGGAAAACCACCACCATCTTCTGGGCTAACTCTGTGCCTCTAAGCAGAGGGATCACAGCTAGTAATCCAGAGCCCTGAAAGTAGTGAAAAATAAATGTTACCTGTATCCATGCTTTGGTTCAACTGCTGGTCACTTGTTTCTCCATCTTCACTGATATATCCTGGAGGAGGTGTTTCTGTAAAAAAATTTTATAATCCATCAACTGGTTCAATGACTGGGGAAACTTTTGTAAGATATAGCAGTTGGTGGTTTTGTCATCATGTCTTCATGAGCTCTCTGATACCTGAGCACTGAATCAGAATATCAATTTGCTGCCTCTTTTTTCCTGCAGATAGGACTTCACACACATTACCTGCCTCATTGTTATGTAAAATGCATCTTCTCTTGTATGTCAGTCAATGGCTCAAATATGTTATATAATTAACAGATAATCCTTGTTTGTTGCTTTTAAGACAAGATACTGTCACTACAATGAGTAACAATTTTGCAATTGTGAGCAACAGCTTTCATATTTAGTAGAATTACAAATTAAAAAACCCATCTGGTGACTTCCACAAGAAAATAATGTGAGCTGTCCTTATGTAGTGCAGTCATCAGATCAGACACCCTCCCACTCCTTACTGAAGTTGTTAGATTTAAAGGATTTTTTTCAGTTCAGGCCCCAAACTCAACCTTCTTCAATACTCAACAGCTGATTTCACTCGTTAATAACTATATTAACTAACTAGTTACACTATATAAACTATTATTATTGTTACTACTTCTTTTAAGTCCTACTAAAATTCACATTTTTTTTACTAGCTTTCTTTAGAGTTTCACAGGCCTAAGTAAACTCAGTACCAACTCTGAAGCATTCTGATACTAGAAATTCTGTCTAATTCCATAGAAATATCTTCAAAACCCAGGATAGTACGAGTCTTCCTTTTCCGCATTCAAAACGTACTTCGTAATCCAGTTAATGACTTAGCCAACTGCCTTTCAGGAAGTAATTTTCTTTGAACTGGGCAAACGTCTTCTACATACTAAAGGCAAAACCTGGATTTCTTTAGCTAAAGTGTTTGAAGCTAACTATCTCTACAATTGCCTTAAAATTGTCTGTGAAACTTTCAGGGATTAAACATTTTTAATTACATTATTGCCATTATTAAACATAAAGCCTTTTTGCTTAAGAAGTAAAATAAAATTATATCAATACCATGTCTGAGATGTATAACAATATACTAAGATCAGAAGGAAGATGGCAAGAGGAAACTAGATTAAGTCAGTTGACTAAATTAAAACAAACTGAATTATATCTTTGGTTCATTCTGTAAAACCAGTGTGCCAAATACAGATGTGCCAAAATTCAAGTGAAAATTTAAAAGTCCAATTAAGGGAAATCTTCATTAGTAAGAAGTATAACAAAAATTATACCCAGTTTGGACATTTTTACAGAACTCATTGTGATAAAGTAGACTACACCCTTCTCCCAATCATTTGTTACAGTTAAGCCTACAGCCATGGTATAAGGTCAATGCCCATTTCCAATCCAACCCACACCTCCTGTTTCCAGTTGCTAATCTAGACTCTTTGGCACAAATTATTTTCCACGTCTAGTCTGAACGGAGAAGATTTTCTTCCCCTAGTACTATTAATACAGTTTAGGGTCAGAGGCTGAGCACCACCACAGCTGGAAATAAATGCTCAAGTGCAGCATTAGAAGTTTTTAGTAGAGCTTGAGTGCTGCCAGAAATCTGGATGATGCAGTTCAGTGTATGCATAACCTGAAAGGGCACATACAGCCCCAAAGGCCATCCTACACCTTCATGATCACCATCTTTCCAGCTCTAGGTGAAACCAACCTCTCTTGTATATCAAGTACTGAGGCAGTACTGTGGTGCAAAGCTACCACAGCTGTCAGGCTGGCCTTCCACTAAAGAAAACGGTTCCCTGAAGCAAGCTGGCCAGGCACACAAGACTTACCAGAATTTAGCTAAGCGCTCAACATGAAGTCAGCAAGATTAAATAAAGATGCTATGATACAAATACAAGATGAGGGTATCGGTGACAAAGAGAAGGAGGCAAGGTGTGGTTAGCTGCATAAACATTTCACGATCATGTGAATACCTGAAACCACCTTGACAAACTTCCTGCAATTAACTACCCAGTTGCTTTAGCTCATTTTCAGAGCACTGGATTTGCAAATGGTGGCTAACCAGTAAGTTGTTTGCAAATGCTATCAAAAGCCATCAGAATGAGTCAAAAAAGTATACCTAAGTTAAGAAAGCAACATCGACTTCCAGCACCTTAAACTGCTCTTTAAAGGTGGCAACAGACATGGCACAAATTAAATAGAAGAGATCGAATTAATTGTATGATGCTATTTCAATTCTTGGATACATTTGAAGACAACACAAGCACATCCTGTTTAGGACACATTTAGAGTTTCAAGGCAGTCATCCAGAGACTCCAGATCTGAATTTTTCAGCTTGTTTGTAACATAGATGCATTAAACATTTAGAAGCAAACTTCAGCTTTACTTGTTTTTGCACTCCAGGCAACTTCCTGAAGAAACAGGAAACAGGAAGTTGGGGCAGGAAACAAAGGTCACTGATTTCATGTTTCAATAAGGGTAATAGGGTTTCGGGTGCACTGCAGCAGGTCAGCCTTGTTATTTGTTTAGGGGTAGGAAAGGGGCAAAGAGGGGGCAGAAAAATTCTTTTAGCAGTTTAATATTGTTAGGTTGCTCTTTCATGCTAAAAAGACAAAACTGTATGCACAGTAGTAACAAAAAGCCAAAGCAGACCTTGATTGATGGTGAACTACAGATCAAGACACTTTTTAAGTCACTGCTTTGCAACCTAAATTTTTCTCTACATACTACACATGATGAGACTGACCATGTTTATTACTCAATACACAGCATTTGGCAAACCCTCCATGTTTGTGAGACAGGCTTAAAGCATAAATGAAGGTCTATTCTGTACTCACTAGCATTCTGAATCTTAACTAAGCTACTGAAACCAAGTAAGCTATTATGAGACTGCGTGGTTTCACGCAGCATCATGTTCTGCAAATAACAGTATTTAGGTATTTCCACTGGAATTAATACACAAAATCAACTAGATCTAATTTACTGGTGCATACTTCAATTAACTTGATCACTGAGGACGATGAAATGACCATCTTTTTTTCAAAGTGCCGCAGTGTTAAATGTGGTGTTTACAACGGGAGTTAAGAATATACCTGGTATGTAATTGCTCTGTGGTTCAATTCCAGCTGGAAAGTTAGTGTTTTCAGGAATGGAATGGGTATAGTCATCAAGAGGCGGCAGCTCCGTTAGAATCTCTGTATGCCGTGGCACTAGCACGGGAGGCAAGACTGGAAAGGCAAAATTTAAGGTGTTAGAAAGACCCTAAAAATACATCAATCTGTGAGCTTAAAGAAACAAAAACAAAATCTAAAACATCTAATAATTTCTTCAGATGTTTTAAACTTTTATGAATCCTAGTACTGCTAATACTGCAATGGCACTGCTAGTTACTGGAAAAGATGGATTCACCAGGCACCTTAGGTTAGCAAGGTAAATCATCTCTGTCCTTCTGTTCAGTCTGGATTGTACTTAGCAGCTGGAGACTCCTGAAGTGTTTATCAGGGGTCATCAACACATTTGTAAAGATTTTTCAGTAACTTTACTATGAGAAACTATCAGGATTACTATTCCCAAAAGATGTATCTCTAAGAATCTGACACCAGAGAGCACCTTTCTCTACCTTTCATTTAAAACATAGGTGAAAAAGCATATACAGAAGCTGCAATAGAAAGTCAGAAGCAATCTTCCTACCTGGTGTCTCCACTCTCTGGTAGTGGTAAGGGTTTACACATACTTCATCCTTTTTAAGATTAAAAGCATATTCACAGTTTTCAATTGCTTTAAGTTCATGGTGACTGTGAAGATCTGGCCAGCGCCACAAACGACAGTAAATAACATGAGGCAATCCTTTACGGTGAGACACCTGTAGACGGCCATCGAGAGATCTGGAGGGGAAAAGATGTTAAGAACTATTTACTCTCTGCATACAGTCTCATAATAGCTCAAGTAACAGTGTACACACATGGGATGGGTAGTTTATTCTCATAATTCAGTGGATTGACACTGCTATTTTTATTAAAAGACTTCAAATGGGATAATAATGATCATATCAAGCAACATCTTAAAAGTATTTTTGACAAATTTGTGACAAACTTATTTCAACAAACTTACTTTGACAAATTATTGCCAGTGAATTTTGAGCTCATTAAAAGCAACTTTACGTCCAACCATTTTGGGTGATTGCTTCATACTTTTTTTTTAATGCAGAAGACAGTTATCAAAAATCAAATCAAATCACACACTTAATGGTCCCTTCCACTGTTAAACCTTAAGGCTTTGCTGTGGCATGGATGCATTATGGCTTTAAGCATAATAATTCACACAGGACTGCAAATAAGCCTGTAAGCAGTCAGCTGCCCAAGTGATCCACACAGCAGTATAACTGTAATGCAAAAAGCATGAATGTACATCTTGCAAGGGCTGTACAGTTTATCTTCTTCACTTCATCTGCCTTGCTACCAGCTGAAAATGTTTTGCTAGTTTTAAGACAGACTGCATATGCTTACATAAATGCAGATGTTTATGATTGTTATGGGATGGGAGACAAACCTCAATACACAAATCAAGTAATGTGACATGAAAAAATAAAGACCCTGTTTAGAATTTGCCCACCATCAACTATGAATTCACAAACGTATCTGAGCCAATTAGCAAGATTTAACTGAAAGCTTGTAGCATACAAAGCAGTTTAAACACTTTGTAAGATTAGGTCTAAAGAACTGTTTCCCAACTTTGTTAATATAAATACCAAATCACATTAGAGCTTGCATTTAACAAGACATCCCATTCTTTCAATAGCACTGGCGTGAAAAAGGAATATTGTAGAAGTAGAGTTTCATTGGTCAAAACATCAGCTGAGAACACTTAGACTTCTACACTGATAAGCAAATATTTTAAAATGCTGTACCATGAGAGGCCTAGGAAGCATTTTAGTGTATTTTACAGCTAAAGCATCCCATTACAGACCCTCCAAAGCCAATCCCTCCCACAAGGTTTCTATGATGCGAGAGAGGGCAGAATATTCACCTGGTTTGTTCAGAGAAGCTGTAAAGGCCTGTTGTATCCCACTGATCTATCGTGTTTGGTGTACTCAGTCCCCAAATTTCAGAGCAAGTGCTGTGCATAAATTGAAAACAAAAACAAAAAATTGATATGAATATGGAACATGGTTATTCAAAACACCATGATGTCAAACATGGAAAAATGTACAGAATACTTCCTTTCACATAGAAGATAGAGCACTGTTAGACTGGCATTTAAAATGGCATCTCATGCTATATTTTCTATATGAAGGAGGCTATCAAAATGGAACAAGTGATTCAAGGTAAATGATAAATGTTTCTAAAAGGTGAACAAGTTCTCAGCTTTTAAGTAGTTGATACAGTTGCAATGTTCCTTAAAACAGGCAAAACTTCCTCAGCCTAGCTCTTTCCAAATTCAATTTAAAAGTTTCTAGGTTTTTTGCTGTGGGTTTTTTTTTTTGTTTTGTTTTGTTTTGTTGTTGTTGGTTTTGTCTGGTTTTAACATAAGCATCCCTAAGACTTTAAACAAAGGCCATGTGTATCTGAAACTGAACATCACAATTTAACTTTCAGATACCACCACTTAACCACTAATGTCATTCTTCATGCACATACTAATTTGCTGCTTTTCCCAAAACAGGAAATTTCAAACTCTGAAAACAAACACATTGTAGCTGATACGTCTGTTTTCTGTACTGTCCTTGATCAAATAACTAAATAATCTTTCCAACAGTTTACAAAACACAGAATATTTAACAGTTTTACCCTGCAGCATTTGACAATTCGACTACAGAAGAACAAAACTTGAATTGCTAAATCAAGCAGGGGGACAGGAGAGACAACTAAATCTTTACCAGACTGGTTCAAGAAAAGATGACAAAGTAAAGATAGAGGAACCTTGAGTCACAGACACAAACTAAAGGCAGCAGCAGATTAAACAAAGCAAGAAAACAGCATTGGATTGCAAACAGGCAACAGACTTTCAGAAGCATAAATTAAGCTCAGCTCTACCACAGACTTGCTCTGTGACCACTGAAAGCGGGCAGTTTATTTTATGTAAGTAACATACAACTAGATTTTGCACCTCAGAAATGAAGGTAATTTGGTTCACAAGCAACTTGCATCTCTGCTTCCTAATTATGGAGCCTGAAGCTTGTTAACTTCTACATTACCTTTAAAATTAACAGCCTCTGAAAAGTCACAACAGAAAGAATCTGAGTTCACCAAACTCCTGGTCTTAAACATAGGTATAGTGATTTAAATTACTAAGTTTAGCTGACACACTCACAAGTTTGAATTGTGATTAAGGGAAGAGAAATGAGGTAGGTATTTTTATTTCTCCTCATTACACAGGGATAATTAATTAGTGTTAGGAAACAAAGAAGCAGACAGCACTACTCTGGACTTAAAACCACTTTCAGGGCTGACAATCACCTCAATTTCATAGTGACTTCAATAAAACTTAACCATGGGCTACTGGGTCATAATGAAGAGGTCTTGTCCCCTTGTTGCCTGCACTGCACAGCTTATTTCTAAGGCCATCCCAGGGAGGCTGAGATGTCCATGCAATTGAGCAGCAATCCAAACCAATAAACTGGCTATCTGATCACAGAACACACATGGCTGAAATGGCATGTTTTGAGATACATCACCCAAACAAGGCCTGTTTGTCTGCACTGGCTGTTAACTATCCAGCTATGTCTGAGCATTACTGCAACCAGAGGAACACATTAGTGAAGAATGTTTTCCAGGTTGGAAAGTATTCTTCCAGCCAAGTGGCAGAGAATCACACTTAGGAAAGATGGTGTGGGTCTGCATGGGTCAATCAGACCATCCAGCACATTCTCTGCCCCTGAGGTCCATAGGAGAGTCCTCATCCTTGCTGTCAGACTCTCTAAGAGGATGGCTGCATTCAAGCTGTCCCATGGGAATGATGTCTAGTGCTCAGTGACTCTTAGGGAGGGGGTTCTTTTACCCAAACGAAAAGCATTCAAGGAACCATGCTCAGCTTTCTCCTGGCTAGCCTGGAGAAGAGCAGGTTCTAGGGAGACCTCATTGTGACCTTTCAGTACTTAGAGTGGGCTTATAAAAATAGAAAGAACAACTTTTTACACAGGCAGATAGTTATAGGACCAGGGGAACAGTTTTAAACAGAGAGAAAGGGTTTAGATTAGATCCTAAGAAGAAATTCCAAGGAACCATGCTCAGCTTTCTCCTGGCTAGCCTGGAGAAGAGCAGGTTCTAGGGAGACCTCATTGTGACCTTTCAGTACTTAGAGTGGGCTTATAAAAATAGAAAGAACAACTTTTTACACAGGCAGATAGTTATAGGACCAGGGGAACAGTTTTAAACAGAGAGAAAGGGTTTAGATTAGATCCTAAGAAGAAATTCTTACTCAGAGAGTGGTGAGGCACTGGCATGTCCAGACCAGAGGAGCTGTGGAAGCCCCATCCCTGGAAGTGTTCAATGCCAAGGCTGGACAGGGCTTGGAGCAACCTGGTCCAGTGGAAGGTGTTCCTGTTCATGGCAGGGGGTGCTGGAACGAGATGATCTTTAAAGTCCCTTTCAACTCAAACCATTCTGGGAGTCTATGATTCTGTGTTACTTTTCAGCCAGACGACTACTTCTATTCACTGTAGAGCTACACTACAAAGGAGAAGTGAGAATGTAATTGTGGGCAGCAGCCTGCATTTATCACAAATAAATATGTTAAATAAAATATGTTCTTTGACACTTCACCCATGATAGTCACAAGTAAAATCTTGTACTAGATGACTTTGTCTAGTAGAGAGCGGAAGAGAGACAGAGATGAAGGCCCATTCTCTAACACAGATCCAGCTCTTAAAAAAAAGCCAACTGTCCTGAACATAAGCTTTCTGAGGATTGAAGTAGTTGCCCTGAAGACACACAGGCAGCCTGTGGGACAACTGAGAGCATCTCTGCACTGTACTGTGTCCTTAAATATGCACCACTACTGCTGTAAGACAGATCATCATGTACATGCAATTAGAAGAACAATCAGCAGACACAAAGCCTGCGCTCTGACAGCTCACTACCTTTGAGCAATGGATCCTTCATACAAACCAGTGCTTCAAAGCTGATGCTGTCACACATTCACATTCCCAGAACTGTGGGATGCATCACTGGTGTAAGCATGACATGCCACACATTTGGTTCACAAGGTTTTTAAGATAGCATATGCAAGAGTAAAATTTCACAGCCCTTGACAAAGTACGATGAACAGAAACAGTATTTTATATTGCTAACCTCTTCCCTCTATAAACAAACTATCAAAGCTGACAACATATTCCACAACCTACAGAAAGACAAACAGTATCCTGAAGCTATAGTGTAACAGAGCCATAGCTTGGAAGGAAGCTCAGGACACCATGGAGGGAAGCCAGGCCAGGAGGTATAGAAAAGTGATCAGTTAGAGCAAAACTGCTCCAATAGTCATCAGCTTACATCATATGCAATCTTCCAGGACGTGTGTCTGCTCAGAGCCGGGATTAGTATCAATGTTTTACTGGTTCATCTACACTAGACTACACTCCAATAATCCACAATCAAATATGGAAGAGCCTGCAGAAAATCATTCCACATGACCAAAGAATCATAGAATGTTAAGAGGTTGCAATGGACCTTACAGATCATCTAGTCCTACCTCCCTCTGCCATGGGCAGGGACACCTCCCACTAGACCAAGTTGCTCAAGGCCTTGTCAAACCTGACCTTGAACACTGCCAGGGTTGGGGCACCCACAACCTCCCTGGGCAACCTGTTACAGTGTCTCATCACCCTTATGGCAAAGAATTTCTCCCTAATATCTAACCTGCATCTCCCCTCCTCTTTCAATTTATACCCACTACTCCTTGTCCTATCCCCACAGTGCCTAACAAAGAGTCCCTCTCTGGCTCCCCTGTAGCCCCTCCAGACACTGCAAGGTTGCTGTGAGATCTCGATGCAGCCATCTCTTCTCCAGGCTGAACAGCCCCAACTTTCGCAGCCTATCTTCACATGGGAGGTGCTCTAGTCCTCTTATCAACTTCATGGCCTTCCTCTGGAGAGCCAGGGAGTTGGTATTTATAATCAATAAAGTCACCTCAACACAGCTTTTCTGTTCATTGGAAGATCCATCTGAGAAAATAAAGTGGTCTCTCCTGCTCACAGAAAAGATCCATTGCTGACAAGATGCAAGACTGCCCCACCACGTCATCCAGACAGTAAATTAGGACTCTCAATATTCACACACACACACACACCAAATCAGAATAAAATTCCTCACAACCTCAAAAAGCACACTTCATACACAGAACGTTCGTGAAAGGCCACAGTATGTTCATTCATACACAAGCAATTGCCTGACAGCGGACAGACATGCCTACTCATCCCACAGAGGTGGTGCTGGAATGGTGACTGCATTCTGAAAGGTGTTTTAACAACCACTAAAACTATCTGAAAAGAAGACAGGAGGTATAGACTTTTTAGTAGTGCAGAATTACTGCCTCAAAATAAATTGGAGGCAGTCACTTCTATATCTACCTTTCTGAAGCATCCAAAACCCCCTGTGATGTGAAAAGTTCTTTCTATGTCTTAGTCCATAAAGATTTTAGAAGAATCAAGGACTAACATCTGTACTCCTAAGTTAAGCCTTGTCTGGAAACAGTCCCAGGCCCTGAAACATGATCATGTATGCTAGAAAGCAGCTAGGACATTCCCCAGCACCAGGCCATGCCAATTACTCTTCTCCCACACAATTCCCAAGTTTGTGAGTTGCACACCATCAGGGCTACTCGCACTGAGCAGCTCAGATACAGCCCCCTCTACCCTAGTAGCTAAGAGCTGAAGAGTACGGACAAGGCTGTATTGAGTCAGTTGGCTACAGTGCCTGGGAATGTTCTCAGGCACGTTTAATTTATTAGGATGGAGGCAGCCAAAACATATCACCATTTCACCATTAGTAAGCAGACTGCCCTCAAAACGAAGGTTAGAAGCACACTTCAGGCTTTGTATGTTACCAAACAGGGGTTTTGAACTCATGGTATACAGCAGCACTGGTAAGCCATCACTGTTTCCAAAACAATTTGGCTCCTGT